TGAGGACAACAGTTTATAACCTTTCAGTAGATACAGAAAACGAATTATGGGAAAGAATACAAAATGAAATTAATGTTATGAGAGGTAATGCACAATTATTGGATAAAATTCATTTTAATTTTCGAAGAACTAATACTTGCGTTTAAGAACAAGGAAGTCACTTTGAGCATTTACTGTAATATTATTTTAATGTGATCACAAATATCAATATAGGTTTATTTGAAATGTTAATGTTGACTTTCTTACATTATTAGTTGATATTGTTTATTTAAAATACTAGTGTTGATTTTTTATTTTATTAATTGATAATACTAATACCAAAAATGTGTAGTTATTTTTTTTAATGTGACGTTTTTTCATTATTATTCCCTGCTTTGAGGAAAACTATGCAATCACAACATTCTCGGATCGGGAGGTCGTATTTTTGGGAGGTCTTGAAAAATCTGTAAGCGAATTCGTACATTTCCCTAGATTTGTTTGGTAATAAATTTAGTCACATTTTTTTGCGGCGGCTATTAACTCTTGTGGTGTCTTGTACACCTGACCATCATCATCACTGTCCATTTGAAATATTTTTAAATATATTTACGAATTTGAGAATATATTGCTGTAGGTACACAAATATACTATTTTATGCTGTATAGAAGGTGTATTTATTTGTATAAATTCTGTACCTATACATTAACTAATTGTTACAAGTGATTTCCGTTAGGATGTTTCATGTGTTTGCAGTAAAATAATTTACTTAATACATTTCCTAACGGCCGCCTCGTTTGTGCCCTGAATAATGCGTTTATAATTTAATTTGTGCAATGTATCCGCGGAAGTTATACATTCAATGGCAATTTATATGCCGCTCTCTTCGCTTTCTAATTACTACTTCAGCTGAGCGTTATATTATTCATTATCAGAGTGGCATTGCAGCGAGCCGTAGGTACTTTATTTTTAACCATTAATTAATCCCTATTCCGGTTCCCGACGGAAATCGGATTTGTTTTTTTTGTCTATATTTTATAAATACACGCCATGGATGTTTGTAAATTGATGAATTAAGAACGGATCTTGGTTAAACACATTTTAGTAATTTAACTTAATGAAATATGATTTTTTTTATCTACAGGGTGTTTATGAAATAAGTGCGTTTCTTGAAAAGGATCACGAATACGAGCAACTTTTATTAAGCAACTGATGGTCTAAATACTTCTCTTTTCGAGAAAATTAGTTAAGAAAATTAACCATAAATGTAAGCCAACCCTGTGCATCTTGTGCACATGCGATGTGTGTTGCAAATTCTTACGTTGTACAGAGATCTCGGTTCCAGCAACGGATTTCAGTGAATGTGACTAGAGTTTTTGGTGACAGAATTTTTACTGTCGTTTAGAAACATGTTTATTAGCACACGGAAACAAAACTTTGAACAATTTTTGTAGAGTGATTGTCTATTGGTAAGTAATTCATTTATTCGCTTAATTTTTGCGTTACTTTTAAAGGAGATTTGAATAAATTTCAGCATGTTTGAATACAAAGTTTAAACTTATTTCAGAAACACCCTGTATATCCCAACGAATAACCACTTGATGTTTTGTTTGTTTATTGATTTATGGTAATTGCACCTATTAACGAATATCTTAAGCATACATTATGTTATCTTTTCCATAAGCAAAAGTATAAATTTTAATGCCACAAATAAATAAATACATATAAATAAATATAAAAATAAATAAATACACAAATAAATCTTTGTGTGGAAGAGAAACAGTTCCGAATGAAAATAGCTTATATTTAAACTAAAAAAAAATATAAACGAAGAATTTTAAATTTTCGTAATACAGACCCGAAGAGTATTGCTGTGTAAATACGGGAAAAATAGTTCCCAAAGCTAAAAGTAATTCACTGAGTCCCTTGTGGTTACTGAGAAAGCTGGGTACAAATACTGAAAAAGTATTCAATTTGTGAGTTCTATTGTTACAATAAACTGTTGCAAAAAGTATCTGCGATTATTTGATTCCTGAAAACAACGTTAAAAGTGTTCAAATCCAGAACACTTTTATTCAAATATTCACATTATGCGAATACAATAATGAATATTAACTACAGAGGTAAATATAAAAATAGGCCATTATTGTATCAAACTAAAGTAGGCGACATAAGGTGTCTCTGAGCTTAAATATTAAAAATTAGGGGAATAAAAATATCAGCAATTTTTTTGTAATTTTTGACAGTGATGAATCGAAATAAAAGCAGTTTGAAGCTTCAAGATTCTAGTTTGAAGATATTTTGACAAACAATTTTTGTGAGTTTCGGTTATTTCATCGGAAATAGCGCGAGAAAAAATATTTAAAAATTTTTTTATTTATTTTTAAGGATCACGGGCTCACGAAATTTTGCTCAGCTTTAGTTTGTTTTTGATCACTGTACGTCAATTTTTTATTAGATATGCGGCTTTGAATGAAAAAGGATCCTTTTATCTTTTATCATCAATATCTTAGTCCTAAGATCCCTAGGCCGTATCTCCATTTCCTCAAAATTTACTTAAAAACAAATTCTGGAAATTAATTTAGAATGATCGAATTAGTCTAGGAAGTATTTTTAGTTTTTTTTTTGGACAAGAAATTTTTTATCCTAAAATTTTTATGAATACAATTTTTTTTTAAAATGTGGTCACCAAAATCTAGAGAAAATCATCCATATGTAAGTACATGTTTGGAGAAGTGTTAATTTTTTTGTACATTCTTTGGTTTGATGAACAGCAATTGCAAACATTAAATAAGATGGGGTGTCTGTGCTACAAAAATAAAAGGGTTTTACGACTATATAATTCTAATTGAATCTAAAGGCTCCTTGTTCCTGGAATGAGGATTTTCGTCCTACGAGAAAAAGTTAAAAAAAGATCTCTTTTCCTTCAAGCTTCCGCAGTTCGTGTGGTAAAAAAAAATTCAAGCTCCCACGTATGAAATGTATTTCGGCACTCCATTCAGACTCGACAAAGAAAACTTCTTTTTTTAAGGAATAAGGTATTTGCATCTGATTATTATCTTACCTTCTTTATAATAATTACTGAAAAACTTGATAATAAAATATAATACAGGGTGATTCTTAGGTATGTTCCAATAATAAAATTGGCGATCCTTTTGGTAATTTTAAAGAAAATAGTTGCTGCTAACTTGTGCTGAATGGTTTGATTTTCGAGAAATATAATGTTCTAGTTGCAATTTTAAATACGACGAATAAAATGTTCAGTGATGTATTTTTCATAAATGTGCAGTTCCAAATTAAAAAATCAAATTTAAGGTTGTGGCTTAATATTTATGTATGTGCTAATGGCTTATATAAATATTTTATTTATTCGCAAATAATTAGATTATCCATTGAAATAAAAAAATATTGTTACACATATTGTACACATTGACATGATTTGTTTATTAATTTATGATTCCATTGGTTGCTTACTCATTTTAACAAGAATGAAAATTATGAAATCTTAAATGCTATAATGAGATGAATATTTTTTTTACAAAATTTGTTACTAACAGCTTTGTCGGCGTGCAGAATCCAGTAGCGTAGTCAAATATTAAATACAAAAATTGACACAGAAACAAATAAAAAATATTTTTTAATAACAGAAAATAAATTCAAGTGATGTGATGTTAATAGAATCTCTCAGAAAAAAATTCTAATTAAATTGGTCAATAAATACCTTTTTTATATTTGAAATGGGCCACATAGTACAATTAAATGGGACTTTAAGTCGCAATTGGGTCGACTTGCCTGAATTTTTGATATGAGTTAGTTTGTATATAATAACACTAAGTGACAATATTTTTTTTCAGCCCCCGGCTAGGGGTAAAAAAAGAAAAGATAAAAGGGTTTTTGAAGATAACTCAAAAGCGGTAAAAACTAGCAAAAAAATTTCTTATAAAAGCATAAAATTCTACATAAAAAATGGTATATTGACTTTCTTTGTACTATTAAAATTAACAGAGTTAGGGCGGCTAGAAGTTAAGGGATGATTTCAGAAATTTAAAAAAATCATAACAAGCAGAAAAATGAATGAATTTTACAATTTTTCTTTTTAATCTACTATAGGAATAAAGAGAAATAGATATATTTTTAATAAAAATTTATAACAATTTCAATTTTTTAATCGTTAATTTTTATGATTTGACACTAAAACAATTTTTTTCTATGCCATTCGATTTATTACTTAAAATAATGAAAAGTTGCTTTCGAAATTTTGTTTTACGACAAATATAAAAAATTACTTTCGCTTTGTGAAATTGTTATAACTGTTTTTATTAAAAATTTAAAAATACATCTAGGTATTTCTCTGGAAAGATAGTTTATATTTTTTAGAGTAGATTGAAAAAAAAATTATAAAATTCATTCATTTTTCTGCTTGTTATGATTTTTTAAGGCTCCCTAACTCCGTCAATTTTAATATTACAAGAAAAAGTCAATAGACCATTTTTATGTAAGATTTTATGCTCTGGAATTTTTATAAGAAACTTTTTTTCTAGCTCTTACCACTTTTGAGTTATCTTCTTGAGCAACCTCTTTATTTTATCTTTTTTCACCCTTCGCCGGGGGATGAGAAAAAAATTACTGTCACTTATTGTTATTAAATGTATACCTCAAACTAACTTATATAAAAAATTCAGGCAAGTTGACCAAAATTTCGATTTAGAGGCCCATTTAATTGGACTAACATTTTCGATTAAATCAACTGTACAATAAGTTCACTTTTGACAAAAAAAAACAATTAATTTATGTCACAAAATAGAAGCTTTTTTTTTATTAGTAAATAAATGTGCCCAACGAATTTTCAAAATACTCAATGGCGTCGAAACTCTAATTCTTATTGAGAGTACTTTCCAGTATCTCTGCTACTGGTTGACTTTGACTTTTTTTTGTGATAATATAAAGAGTCACCCTCCTTACTATCGGAGCGCACTTATGGACCACCTTGTAGATAGCAACCCACATTAAATAAAAACACCTACACAACAACTCCAGTCGAACAGTCTTCTCCGAGGGCATCATCAGCTTGGTGTTGCTCGCCTGGCACTTGAAAGTGGAGTTCAGGTGGTCTCTCGTCACGCCATTTACTTCCAGCCTATTCACCATAACGTGATTTCCGATAGCTTCGAGTTGTCCCTCGACCATTCGCTCGTTCATGAACCAGGAGACCGTCGGCGGGGGCCGTCCTGAAAGAAACGAAGGGTCGTTGTAGATGGAGGATTTTATTATAGGCACGAATTCACGGCTATACAGGGAAATCCACACGACATTCTGTCCCTTTTATCTTTTTCTGTCTTTTTCGTTTTTCTATCAAGGAAAAAATGTTGTATTTCCTAGATATAAACCGAACATTTGTTATTGTTTTAATGGAATACCGTGTATATTTTTCTTTTTTGGGTTTCTTTTCTTGAGGTCTTTCATGTTACATATTTGCTTTGATAGTTTGCATAATATTTGGGTTTATTTACTGATCGTGCACATAGTCAAGATTGCCATGAAACCACTGTGTGGGTATGTTTTTCGCAAATCTTTTAAATTTTTTAATAAGTAAAATATATTATTCATAAAATGTGTTTTATTATTCCAGACAAGGAACATATATTTTTTTTATAATGCCCTATTATCGACTTCACTTATAGCACTAATTTCATTTTCTCCTTTAGGTTATGCAAATTATTATTGGATTAAAGTTATTTATTTAAAAAAATGTCCTAACAATAAGGTTATCATAAAACCTCTCTAGTATTGTACATTTTCCTTAATAAAGTGTTTAATGATCTATTTAGTGAATTTAAGGGCGCATTATTATTGAAATAGTGTTTTCCACAAAGACAAATAATTTCAAACATTTATTAAATCTAAAGCTTATCAAATAATAGGAATGTTATGTCATGCCATCTGGGTATTTTCAAAGACGCCGCAGCAAAATGAACAAGTGCAAAAAACGATCAAATCATCAAGGTTTTAGGTACTGAAATCTACGAAAATACTAACTTTTTTATATATAACTCCACACGTAAATATTCTTATAACATATACTTGTTTAGTCCTACATATAAAATTATTTACTTTTATTTATAAGTACGTGAAAATAATTCTTAAAATATGGGATTAGGAGAACAGCAAAAGCATTTTTTACAAACGCTTTTTTAAAGTAATAATGAATAAACAGAACATCGAGGATTTTGTTTTTGTGCTCACTTTTGTTCTATACGTTTTATTTTTCAAGATTTCAGTATCTAAAAACACCAGAAAGACTATTTCTCGGCCAGGAATATGGTCACCTTAATAGCGGAAAAGCATAAATATGCACTAGTTCCAGGCCCGGATTTAGGGAGGGGGTTATAGCCTCGGCTCTCACGAGATCTGGAAGCCTTGGCAAGATCTTGCAAAATAAAACCAAAAAATGGTTAGGTTTTTTTAGAATCAAACTAAAAATTGTTTAGGTTTTGAAATTTTGTGTATTTTTTTTAGAAAAAGGGTCTCCGTAGAGCTTGCAGGCCCGGGTCTCACTACAGATTATTCCGGCCCTAACTAGTTTTTTATTGTGGATAAATGAACCAAAATATTATGCAAACTGTCAAAGCAATTATATGACATGTATATATCACTGATGCGGTTATAAAAAGAAAGGGATTTCAAAAAGCGACAAAAATACAGGGTGTCCCTAAAAAAACTGGTTTGGTTTATATCTCTCAGACGCAAAATTCAAATTTTTTTTTTTATATAAGTAGTTGTTTGACATCACAAGAAAACTCCTTAAAAGAGGTAGAATGTTATGTGAATTAATACAAGGATTAATAATAGTCCCATCAAAATGATCTTACTTATTGCAAGAAATAAATGAAAAAAACAAAAAAAACAAGTCAGTATAGTGGTTACGTTTTAATAGGAATTTAATTTAAATTTTCAAAATAAATAGAAAAATGGCTACCAAGTCACAGTGTGTTATATTTCGAGTAGCACCGCCCTTTCAAATTTTATGGGCAAAATGTATTTAAAAAGCGATGTAAAAAAACTGGAAAACAATTTAAGAAAAAAACTGATAACTTAATTGTATTGAATGTATTCATATTCATTATTTTGTTTTGATAAATCATTTATTTATTTAGTACTTAAAATTATTAAAATGCAGTATTTGGAACAGTGTATAAAGGCAATAATTCCTCAAGATGAGCTGTTTTAGCTTAGATTTATGCAAGGTACAAATAATTTGTCAGTCTAATGATAAATGCCGACAATTACTATTACTTCGCATTTATATTTTGTTATAATGATGAACTTGCTCACATGAAAACTTATAGAAAATATTAACAAACTTTTTTGTTTTCAGCCTCAGAAACAAACAATTGAGGTTAAAGACAAAAAAGGAACTACCATTGTATCTAAGCAAATAAGTATTAAATTAATCCATTTTAGTAAAAAAGTTTATTTTTTAAACTAACTAACTTTTTTGTTGGAATAAATCATGTTTAAGGTTTCTATTTTCTATATTTCTTTGTTTATTTGTAAAAAGCTTATCGTATTAAAAATGCCTTACAACAGTGGATTTGAAACACCGGATATAAGCAAATGGGCAAATCTTTATAACTTAACTATTTTTCATTCAAATATTTTTAGTGTATATTTTTCAGTTTTTTCAAAAAAACGTACAGTAGTAGACAAATAAAGAGTACTCACTAAAACGTTTAAACAACAAAGATAGTAAAACCTTACTTTTGTAAAGAATTGGTTAAAATCGGAAACCTTTTATTGTCCACAGTTGTGTAATTTCTTTCTTGACTTATCAAATGAATGGATTTCAGTGTTTCGAATTTATTTGCGGTCTTCTTTGAAGATGTACTGATCGACAACGAATATGTTCTCCCATCATTTTTGACAAAATTCGCTTCGCATCGATCAATTTATTCGATACGTATCTAGCGGCACCCTAATGCCTACCCTGTCAGCCTGGCGATGACGTGCCGGTGAACAGTCAAGGTTTTAGCAGAGGGACGCTTACCGTACAATTTATTTTCGTTTATGAGTGAATTGACGCTTTGCTTGGTCGAATGTATAGCTCGTGTTTTTATGGTAGTCAGTAGCATTGTGTATTGTGAGCATAGAGCGGCACACGGCTTGATCATAGATTTAACCTATTTCTGCTCCTATAACGAGTATTGCCGCTTACTATCATAATCTAGATTACTACTGTTTATTTATTTGATTAACATTACATAAAACAGCTGCGATAATTTTTATTCCAAATTATTATTCGTTAAATTTATTTCATTTTTTGTGCATAAACTTTTTACATAGTATGCTGATTAACTATGCGTGCATTGCGTTAGGTTAGGTACCTTACAGTATTACAGTTGACTAAATTTCAGTGGCGTGTAGATGTCGTAATGCCCCTTTTAGTTCTGTTTTTGCAGTATAATATTTATATGGTTTCATTAGGCATCTCATCATTTTATTTTTGATAGGTTGATAACTACCCTGCATAATATATTCCACAAAATGATATTAGAAGTAAAACATAACGTTACGCCACTGCGATTTAACAATTATCAAGTACCCGTATCTCGTTAATTCACATAAACATTCTTTATTCATTGCTTATTATCAGTTTGCTAAATACATTTTGTTGAATATGGGAAAGTAATTCCACAAACGAAATTAATAATTACGCTGAAGAATTACCTACGCTGTAAACTACATTCGAGCGCTCAGCCCAATGCAATTTGTTACACCAAATAGTCAAAGAAATTTCCGGTCTGGTAATGTTTAAAACAGTATAGCGGTTGATTCGGGAAAATTAGACGTTCTGAAACATTGAAACTCGTTAGAATCGGGTTTAAATGTTAGTATATATCGAGTTCCTTCGTAATTAAAAATACAAAATTAAATAACGCTCATTTAGTCGTTCGTGCAAATACGCCGTTTGATGGCGGATAAAAGTTATTTTGTTTGCAAAAATCGCTTTTCAGCGTCTATTGATATTCCAGTCCATTTGTACATTTTAATTTTGATTATTCAACTCTGTTTCAATACGCGGATAGGCGCCCATAAAATATTTTTTTTTTAGGTACTGTATGACAGAAGCAAAATATGACTACGTTTCTAAAACAGTCCTACAATCTTTTTTAAAATGGAAGAAACACAGTGGAAACTTCCATATTTTGAAAAAGAGATGAAAATGCCGTAAAAGCTCCACCTCCAAGGTAGAAAACTTTGAGTTTACTAATTTTTAAGGTAGTAAGGTAATAACAGAATATATTGTTATGATTTGTTTTTAGGATAACATAAAACATATAAAAAAGGGACGAAAATGTAAATTTTTGAGATAAATTGAAATATTTACTAATAACAGAGAGAAAACTGACATAAAAGGGATGTGGAACACAGAAAAGATTAAAATGAAGGATATTTTTAAGTGCTGAATAAGTTGCGTAGTAATATAAGATAAAACCGTTCAATGAAACGATTCAGTGTCAAAATTATGATTAAAGAATAATTTATAAGTTAAGTAGTCGATAAAATGCACTCATGCAATTTGAAAAAGTTTAAAAACACTGTAAAGAACAAATTAGTAAAGTTAGATTTCAACTAGGGTTTAAGCAAATTTGGAAAATTTAAATTTTGACAAGTTGAACCACGGATGGAAAAGGAAGGACACATAAATAAGAAACATGCAATAAATCTTATATAAAAGTAAAATATAGCATACCTGCAATAAGTATTTATGAGTGGAATTAAACCTGAGGCTTTGTGTAAAGTTTTCCAAAGTGACAGATCTATGTATCGTCATAATTTGTAAAATTGTAAATTTAAAAGTGTTGTAGAACTACAAAATAATTTGTAAAGTGTACAGAAAACCTTCTTAACATATACTGTTTTGAGATTCCAACCAAAGTTCAAATTTGTGTGTAAACTTTAAAAGTTTTCTATATGTCAACAAATCTAAAACATTTCAATCATTTCATAAACAGGGAAAAACTGTTAAAAATGTGAAAAAGGGTTAAAGACAGTGAATAGACATACAATTAAGCTGTATAGCCTAATTTAGTCCAAATTTCTAAATTTCAGTAAAATTTGTTGAAAGTTTGACAGTTAACGTAGAAATAAGTTACTGGTGTCAAAAGATTAGTATTTTTTAATTAAAAATTCTCAAAAGTTTAGTTTGACATATCCATGGCAACACTTC